CTCGACATCCAGTTGCGAGACATAGTGGCTCACGGCCATCTTCCCATGCCTCCACGCACCCGTGCTCAGGTTGATCTTGGAGTGGGATTGCGGACCGCCAATGACCTGGATTTTGCGAAATTGATGTACGTTGATGAAGATATCGCGGACATCACAAGCAGCGACCCAGGGCTTTTGGAACGCTTTGAACACTCTCATTGGGTGATCATCTGGAAGCGTGAACTCTATTCCCTCAAGGAATTCCAAGATCTCTGCGATCATCGCACGACCCGGGGAAAAGGAACCAACTTGTTGACCTTTACCTGCGTCATGGAGATCATCGAGACGCCAACCTTGAGAGAGCTTCACGAAACCATTGACAGCTCCCTGCCAGTTGCCCAACAGCTTGTGCAAAGCAAGCGTGAACAGAGCGAGCGGGCAGCTGAAAGGAATGCGGCCAAAGGTCGTGGCAAGGCCAGCAGAACTCATGTCGCTGCGCCACGAACTCCGCCAAAGGCCGCACCCAGCCACAGGGTTGCCCCGATCGCCGAACCACAAGGTGAGAGTTCGCCGAGTGCTGGCTTCAACGCGATTGGCACGATCGACATTCGCCAGATGCCGACGGCAAAATTCCCGCCGAGTCCGCCGACTACCTTGCAGCGGCCACCTGCCCCGAAAACGCCACCGATTCCCTCACCAGCATCAACCACAACATCCAAGTCGGTGCCTGTGAGAGATGCAAGAGAGGGAGCTCTCCGCACAGCTCGTGCTGCTGCCCGAGAGTATCAAGATGGCGATCGCTGAGGGTACTACACCTACTACCAGGGCCGATGGTGGACGCGCGATCAGTATGGGCGGTGGCGATCATATTAAATTCGAGCTGCATGCATTCTAAGCATATGCCATGAAGTGGTCTTTAAAAGAAAATCCACGCTGGCATCATAGCTTAGCCCGATCACAGCTGCTAATTCACGCGTCGCTAGTGAAAGCAGAGGGGGGTGTTGAAATACATCACCTAATGCTATGCTTTTACGCACCATGCCAATTCTTGGCTCAAGCACGCAGCTCATCGCGACAAAAAGGAGCGCTAGCAGTTGCAGCTTAGCGGAGTTTGACTGTATTTTAGTGGTTGAGCCTGAAAATGCAAGAACTCTACTTTTGTGCATTTGTGTCCATGAAGCAGCTGTCACTTGTCGTCCGCACTTGTCCCTACAGCCAGAAATGGGTTTGTTCCCAAACATTTTGGTCTCCATGTTTCGAGTCAACACGACAACCAGGCTTAGTGGATGCGTTGAACACCATCGCTGTTTCACTGTCTGGGTCCGTGTCTCTTCTTCAAAGTCGGGCCTTTGCTGTGGACGACAACCTTGCAGACAGCTGTGGCTACCTTGCATTTTATGCGGTTCCAGTGTTTGGGGAGGGCAATCTCTATGAGATGCTGACAGGGCTGCTCGTTTCACGATAAGATTTGCGAACCAGAGCCAAAGATAAAAGTAGATTGCATGTTTCATGATTAATTCTGCAACTTGACTTTGTCTCTTCTCAAACCGCTGTTCATCGTTTTGAAAAGACTGGTGGAGCGGCAACAGATACAAACGTGCGGGCACAGCTCCATACAGACAAAACAAATGCTTAAAAGGAGCTGTTGGTTTCTGCTCTATACCCACGGAGTCTTTCGCCCCAAGGCTGCAAGTTGTTTGTGGCAACCCCAACGTGGCTGCCGCATTGCCCGCTGCGGCAGCACCCAACGCTGCTGCTTTGGTTGAAGGAGTGGAGGTGCTGGAGACTGGAACTACTCCCACAACCACACAAACAACGGCAGCCACAACAGCAGCTACCACAGCAGCCACAACAGCAGCCACCACGGCAGCTACCACGGCAGCTACTACGGCAGCCACCAC